TTTCTCATTTATTTAAGAAGTTTATTTTTAGTTATTCTAGAATAATATTTCAAGAATTATACGATTTTTTTCATAAATTTATTGCCTCACTTATTGTTAAAAAAATAAAAAAATTAGAAATAAAATAATAATGGAGACTTTTTTAAAGCATGTATTATGACATCAGAAAATAATTACTCACTGCAGATGGATTAAACAGTTGTCCTCCTAGGATACATGAAATGTATGAAATTAAAGTAGAATTAATTATATTTTATTAAAGAGGAGGAAAGAAGAAATTTCACTATTTATATCAACTAATTTTAAAGTAATCAAATATATAATTAAAATAATAAATGTATGCATTGTATATCATTCTTCAGTTGTCGCATGCTTATAATTATTAGAATAACTTATTTTAATTACAATTATTTAAATTTACATCCTACTTTCATTTATTTTTATGAAAAAACAGTGTCCTGCGAGTTCAAAGTGAGTAGTAGATTTAGAAAGAAAAATCCAACAGCGCACAATTTCCATTGCACGCATCGAGACATATTACGAATCCCGTGTGACTAATGACGTGGCATATTTTTAGTGGATGGTGGATGGGTGGGTCCCACACCAACCAGAATACTGCTAAGGCAGTGGAGCCGACGTCACCCGCTCCCCAAAAGCCGTCCAGATGCAAGAAGTAACCGGAATATATATCCACGTAAAGACACTTTTTCTGTCCTGCAACCGGGTCAGTAAAAACATTTTTAAAAAAAAATAATCATAACAGTAAAAAATAAAATTATACTACAACAAAAAGTTAAAATTTTCTTCTGATTTTGGGGATAAAAATAATTAAAAATTCGAATTTTAAATAGGATTTATTTTTAAAATATGATTCAAGATTAGCTGTAAAAAGTAAATTATCATGAATGGATGGTGGGTCCAAATAATTCTTTTTTTGTTTTCCACTTACATTTACATAAAATTTATTGAGACACATCATATTTTGAATTGAAAGTATATTTATAATTAGTTATATTTAAATTAAATTATTGAAATTTTTTATTCCTTTCAATAAAGTTATAATTTTAATTTATATAACTTTTTTAAAAAAAATAAATTAAATTTTAAATCCTAATATAATTATACAATGAAAAACTTTAATTATCATAAACTATTTACTTCATTTAAATGCATTACGTTTTACTAAAATAAAAATTAATTTAAACACTATAATTCTGTTAATTAATTAATAAATTAAATTGTTAGTCCATTAAATTATATAAATTAATTAATATGAATATATAATATATTTACAAAATAAAAAATTTATATATTTAATAAAATTTAAATTTATAATTTTTAAATAATATTACTAAAAATTCAAACTTAACTACAAATCAGATTTTTATTTATATAAAAGTACTATTTAATTATTAAAATGTAAATTAAAAAATATATAATTTTTAATTAATCTTTTTTACTAACTCTCAATTCTTAATTAGTCCACGTGGCAACCTATGATTGGACAGCTGAAAAAGGCGGTTGGCCGTTTCCTTTGCTCGGTGGTGCGACGATCGCCAACAAAATAGCAAACGGTGTCTTCGCTTGCCTTCTTTCTTATTTGCAAGAAACTCATACGGACAAGGGAAAGATTGAGTAGAAACTAGAAACTCTTTTGTTTGGAAATTTTAATAGACACCTATATATATACATATAAAGAGAATAGGCGACATATAAAACTCTGTATTTTCACGGGAATGACAAAAAGAGTTTTATGATTTAGTAAACTTGAAAAGTTGAGTGAATATCCAATATCCTTGCACCATAAAAAGGTTTTTTATAATCTGGATATCTCTTGTTTGTATGCCTAGAATTTACCCAGAAACCCAGATTCCGGAATTTCAGTTTTATCTTTTCTCTTTACGCTCTATGCTTCTGCTATAAAAATTTGCTAGGAGAGAGATATATATATATATATATATATAAAATACTGGAACATGGATTTTTGGCCGGAGTTTCTTGCGAGCAGTCAAGGAAAGGAATTTGTGGCAGGTGGTTTCGGTGGCATTGCCGGAATAATCTCCGGTTACCCTCTCGACTCGTTACGTATCCGGCAACAGAGCTCGAACTCCGGCTCCGCTCTTACCCTCCTGCGCCGTTTGATAGCCACTGAGGGCCCTGCTGCACTCTACAGAGGCATGGCTGCACCATTGGCCTCCGTCACATTTCAGGTTTCAATTTTTTCCTTTTTACTTTCGTTTTTCTTGGATCGATTTCCTATTGTTTGAATCGAAGGGTTCATTAGAAGCCTTATCCCAAGATTGCCCTTCAACTGATTTTAACCAAATAATTATTTTTTTAAGAAATCCTGCTTTACACTTCTTGTGATAGCTTATCAACAAAACATTACATGGTATATGGCCTCCATCAGATGTCATTTCATAGTCATCTTGTAGAATTATTATTTTGGGTCCTTCAATCCTCCATAGCTTTTAGGTGACCCTACTAGTATGGATAGGTAGAAAACATACATAAGTCAATATAACAGAGTTTTTAGTTTCTTTGGAATATAGCAAAAGACATTTTTGGAAAAACCATGAACCTTAGTCCAGAAAGCAGACGAAGAAGCCATTTTGTCCTGAAAGAAAGGAAAAATGTTTAAGAAATTAATTGTAGCTTATAATCATTCTTAGTACAAAGTGATTAATTGTTTAATTTGTTTTCTATATTGAGGATTTTGTTTTTCAATTTTGAAGCATATTTAATAATACTCATTTTGTCATCTGCGGTTGCCCCTTTGATGGCTTATGTTCTTGCTGTTTGTCTTGATGTAGCTGGGTCTTAGGTCTCTTTTACTTATGATTGATCTAGGATCAGATAATTGTGTTGAGTATTTCTCTAAGCAATTTTATTACTCCCCTAATCAAGTCTAAATCTCATCAATGTTTCAACTATTATTCTTTCACTGGCTTAGCCTACTGGTAATAAGGAGTTTGCAAATTGCAGAATGCTATGGCTTTCCAGATCTATGCAATCTGCTCCCGGGCATTTGATTCATCTGTTCCAGCCACCGACCCTCCATCGTACAAAGGTGTTGCTTTAGGAGGGATTGTTACTGGAGCTATGCAAAGCATAATGCTTAGCCCGGTAGAACTCATAAAAATTCGCCTTCAACTGCAGAACAATAGTAAATCATCTTCCCTCAAGAATATTCATCAAATTGGTCCAATAAGCGTTGCCAAAAGCATATTCAAAACAGAAGGTTTAAGGGGAATTTACCGAGGATTTACTGTAACAGTCCTCAGAGATGCACCCGCACACGGCTTCTACTTCTGGACATATGAGTATATGCGAGAACAGCTTCATCCTGGCTGCAGAAAGAGTGGCCAAGAAAGCTTGAGAACAATGCTGGTAGCAGGAGGGTTAGCGGGAGTTGCTAGCTGGGTCAACTGCTATCCATTAGATGTTGTGAAAACAAGACTACAGGCTCAATCACCAACTTCCCTAAAAAAATACAATGGCATAATCGATTGTTTCCAGAAAAGTGTGAAGCAGGACGGTTTCAGTGTGCTCTGGAGAGGATTGGGAACTGCTGTAGCTAGAGCCTTTGTGGTCAATGGAGCTATATTTTCTGCATATGAGACAGCATTAAGGTGCTTATTCAACAACGGGAGTATTCAAACTGAGAATGCTATCTAGGATAAACTCGGCTTTTGCCCAATTTAAGGATTGCCAAGTAGAAATTCGATATTTCCTTTTGTCTCTTTTGCCCCATACAAGAACCTATAATATATAGTTGTTAGCCTCTTGAAGTAACATGGTAGTGCTAAGGTGACTTTTCATTTTACTGTTAAGAACCATTAAAGAAAAAAACAATTCAAGAATGTAGAATGTCACCACTTATAGAATTGTTATGCTGCAAGGTTTCATTAAGATAACTAGTGAATTTATTCATGTTTACTCGTACATTTACTGAACTTGATGTAATCTAGAGAACCAGATTCATTCTAAAGATGATTATGGATTAGTCCATAGCCTAGAAATGCACCCTTAAGGGTAAACAAAATGCATCACGCTATAAATCCAATCAAATCAGGCTCATCTTCTGCCTCATAAGCATCGAACCCAAAGCTTGTCTGCGCCAAAGCAAATTAATTATTATGGTGCCCAAGATTCCGAACTATTGCTTGAATCTGCTTCCACAGATCAGGACAGTCAAAAACTTCATATTCAAGAAAAACTTCGTTGCACCCCAGTTGCATCATCATTGTGCAGCATCAGCAATAGTGCTAATGCCTCCTGCAGCAAATTGTACAACAGGAAGCCTTCCCATTTGCTTGGTTTGTACTATCAGATCATAAGTCACTGTTGCTTCCTTTGCAAACGCAAGAATCTCTTCTTCATCCATGTTTATCAAACTCTGTCTTCTTTGTCACAGACCTCGCAATCCGAATGGTCTCAGCAATGCTGCCTGATGTTGCAAACCTTGAATTTGATAGACCTCCCTGCATCTATCATGTGTCTGCACGTTCTTTCACCCTCATCATTGCATCTTAGAAATTTCGACATGCACAAGAAAATGGAAGGCTGAAGTTATGTTTGTTAATGTGGTTATCAGTATCAACACTACTAAGAAGTTCTTTCTTGTCAAGGTAATCTGCGGCAGATGCTTCAAATATCTATGCTTCGAGAAAATGGCCAACCTGAATTCTTGTCATTACAGGAATGGAGACTGCCTCCCTGATTTCCTTGAGAAGGGATGTGTCAGGCATGTGAGGTGTTCCATGGTGAATTACAATTGAAAGTGCTCCAGCATCCTAGGCAATCTTGGTTTCTGCTGCAACAGCAATTCAACTATGACTCATCTTTGAAGCGTACAGAACGGGCAATTCATTGCTCCGACCATCAGCAATGTTGCTGCTGCTGCAGGCTGAAAGATCACCATCAGACATTGCAAAACATTATGTTTACTTGAATGAAGTGATAAGATAGAGACAACCAATGAAGTAAATGAATATGTTTTGGTTGCAGCTGCCTTACTATTTATTGAATCTGAAAACAAGAGTATGTAAAGCCTTGTGTTGGGTTTTTCTAGGTGAAGAAAATTTAAATTTCTATTGACTTCACTCACTTTAAAATTAACAAGTTAAAGTATCTTGGTGGGCGTCGAATTCACGAAAAATAAATTTTTAATTAACTAATAAAATAATAGTATAGTAGTGGTAAGAAGAGTCGAATCTACAGGAAATTGGAAACTAATTTTCTTCCTTGACTGACAAATAAAACGTAAACAAGGGGGGAAAGGGGTTTGTAAAACTCAATATGCAAAATATAAAATAAGTAATAAGCATAATAAAATTAAACAATCTATTGGCTGCAAGTTAAAACTAAAATAATTATAAAAGGATTCATAGTTGATGAAATAGCTAACTCTACTAACGTAGTTAACTGATCATAAATGTAAAGATTTGTTTTATCCAAAATATGGTATATCAGTTATAGTTGTCGGAAATATTCCGACGACCAATGCTTTCTTATTCCTAAACCAACCAAAAACGTTCGTTAGTTGATTTTTCGTTGTCAAACAGTCTTAATAACATTCACAGGATTTAACTTGTCAACGATCTTGAGAGCTAGAGAGACCTGATTCAAGTTGTCGGATTCATCTGCGTGAACTGATCAACTAGATTACTTAACTTCTCAGTGCGACACTGATCACTACTAGGTGTCAGAATCACTCAAACAATTATGGATTTGAGGAGTTCGGCTAGCTACTTGTGGTTACTCTTCACACATGATGGTCATACTCAAATGGATTCAAAATAACAAATATATATATATAGGTGCAAGATGTAAATAAATATCAGATCTAAAATAAAACTCAAATTAATTCAATTAAATCTCACAAATACATTGTTGGAGTTTACTAGATCTATCAATTAAGAAAAGAAAATAAATCACCTACTCGTGATAGACTTTTTAACACAAATGAGTTCTTGGAGAATAAAGAGAAGAAAAAAAATGAAGAAGAAAAATTGCAAAAGCAACAGAAGCTGCTGTGTGCAGTGTCGGGAAGAAAAGAGATGATGCACCAGTTTGGCAACCGCCCTCTTTATAGAAAATGAGCTAAGGTTTTCTTTTTTTTGTTGATTAGGATCATTTTTCTTAATTTTTGACTTATTTCAAGCCTTTCAAAATATTTTCTCCTTGATTTTTAGTCTCAGATCTTGACTTGAATAATATCTTTTTTCATATTTAAAAAGCACTCATTTTAATTTAAATATGTTGTTGTGTGCAACTCTTAATCTTGCCTAAGGCTGAGTTGTCTAGGGCAAGACCCAAGGCTTGTTTCTAGGTTAATGACTCTTTTCATAAACGCTTCCTCTTTTTGTGTTGTTTTTCTTCGGTTCAATCCTTATATTTTGTCCTGCAATAAAACATAAAAAATAGTTCGGATTAGATAGCATACAATCAAGTTTAACAACCCAAAAATAAGTAATAATGATGTCGTTTTAAGGCACTATCAAACTCCCCAACACTTATTTTGTCCTTGCCCTTAAGCACTATACAATACACTACATCAATCCTCATCTCTTCACCTTCAACTCACTTACTCCCAATCATTTCATCACAACTCGCATGTTACACCTCAACTCTCAAGTTGCAAGAATAACCATCAACTAATAATTTGTAGACTTGAGTTTCATAGAACCACACCAATGAATAACCATTTTGACAACATCCAAATATGACATGAGAGAGTTTTGTAAATTTAGCACACAAAAATTTCATTGAGGAGATTAGGCAATACCTAGTAAAACAGCCATCAAACATGTCCAGATATAAGAATTCATGCAATTGGTTCATGCCAAAAACAGAAAAGCTTAAACACCTTTGCTTGCTTAAAATGTCACCAACCTTTTAACGCGAGAGCAAATATTTGTGATGAATGCACCCGATTACTCAATTGGTCACAGTTTGAAGTGGCTACTAGCACTACTCCAAGTCATTTGGCTAGATAAGTATATTATTATTGGTGTTCTTTTCTGTTCTTTTTTTCATTGTGAGTGCATTTTACTCTCAATCTTACACTTTTATTCTAAATATTTTTTTAAATAAGTGCGTTTTACGCTCTATCTCACTCATGACATGATAGTTAATTTAATTTATTCATTCAAAGCACACAATTCCAGATAAGCTGTAGAAGAGTTTTTTTCTAAGTATTGATATTCACCCAAAAATAAGAAAAATTAATTTTTTTTTTTGAATAGGCAACCCTCAAATAAGTCATATTCAATATATAATCAAAGATAATCATTCATAGTGTAAAAAGATGAAAACAAGGTATAATTCCTAGAAGATGGTTATAAGTGCAATTCAATTTTTGAAATATCCCATTTGAGTTGTTTAAAAATAATAGAGAGGCAATTGTGAAGGTTGGAGTTAAAAATTGTTGGAGATGCATGTGTGATGTAGCAAAAATTAAGTAAGTCAAAATACCTAGGACGATATGCCAAAAAAGAAAACTAGCTACTTAAGATGCAGAATACAAAATATAAAATGTCTCTCCCCCACACTTAAGTTACATATTGTCCCTAATGTGATGCAAATGGTAAAAAATAAAAACAAAGTGATAGATTAACTCCCCTGGTTACTTGACGTGGAGGTGGGGTGCACTAAAAAGCATCACATTTTTAAGACCACCAAAAGTGTTATCAGGTGATATAAGCTTTAGGTAAGGCTTATGTGGGGAATGACATGTGGCTGTGTTTTTCTTGAAATTCTATTTTTTTTTTCTTGTTGTAAACATGACATGGTCATGCTGAGCAGGCACACAACCATGTTTTTCTCACAAAAACACTTTGGTGGTAACACATTAAGGGTCTGACACAAGCCTTGGGCAAGGCTTATGTGTAGATTGACACACGACTGTGTTTGTCTCACAAAAATGCTTTTGTGGTAACACACGGTCGTGTTATATGGACGAGGCATGTCAAACAGCGCGTGTCTCCCAGGCACACAGTCGTGTCTTATGGGCCTGACATAAGCCTTGGACAAGTCTTGTTTGGTTGTTCCAGAGTTTGACTTTTTTCGACTCCAGTACCTGAATTCTCTATCTCTGCACTCTAATCACCATAGAACTCATATTAACTTAGAGAAAAATATTGTAAATAAATTGAAATCACTAATGTAAATAATGAAAATTGAAAAGGGATGAAGAAAAATGGATGGGTTGTCTCCCATCAAACGCCATTGTTTAATGTCCTAGGATAGACATTACTAATTTTTAAGCACTCAAAATATTTTGTCTTTTTATAATCTACTTAGCTCGTTAGAACTTATCACTGGACCAAGAACACATATTTCAAATGTTCAGTCGACGGTTTGAGCTCAAGTTTTAGTGCCTGTTAAAGAGAAGGTAAACATTTTGTGTCAGAAATAAAAAGGTCAACACATGTTTCATTCCTCTTTTGATGTTTAAGTGTCTCTAATTTGAACACCATATCTTGTGGATTCTCTTCAGCAACAAGATCGTCTTCTAAAATTTTGAGCTGTTCACATCAAAATCATTAGAAAGCACAATGTTCAGCTTATCATCATGACTTGAATTTTTGATTTAGAGGACCTACAGTATCCATTCCATACATACAAGACACATCACTAGGATACTTCATATCATTATAAACATTAAATTTTGTCATTTCTCCATTAAATTCCATAGTGAGTGTACCATCCTACACATCTATCTTCGTCATCCTATACTAAAGAAAGGTCTTACAAGCAAAATATCAGAGGGGCTAGATGATTTTTCATCTTCCATATCTAACACATAAAAATCAGTTAGAAAAATGAGTTTATCATCTTTAACAAGCACATCCTTTAGAACTCCTTCTCAATAAACAACTAATCTATCAGTTAGCTGAATTGTACCACCTATTTCTTTTAATAAACTAGTGTTTAACCTT